TTTGATACAATTTTAAATTTTAAAAATTCATCATAATATATTTTATATTAAGATATTACAAGCAATTTACTCAAAATTACAAAAGCATATCACATTCTTATAATTAAAGCTTTGCTAGGGATATCTTTTTTTACTGCTTTCTAAATTCTGTTTGAAAAAGTATTTTTAAAATAATAAGAAAACTATCACAAATGAAGCCTAAATTTCTCTTGGAAACACTGAAGAATAGTTCTTATATCCTCAAAACAAAATCAAAATGCATAATTCGAACTACAATAACACAACAGTTTCTCTGATATAGCTAAATCAGAATACTATATTTTATATACGCATATCTTCGATCATTAAGCACGCCAGAGCTAATGTAGCCTGCTTTAGATATCAACGCAAGCAGTATAAATATATCCATGATATTTCTTTGGAAACGCCACCCTTCGCCACCCAATGGCCACCCCTTTCTTCATCTCCAATACAAACATAGCCGAAGGCCAGCCACTAGACTCCACCCTCGCCACCATCAATCTTTCAGCCCAAGATACCATTATTGGAGAACCTCTGACGTCCTCTGGCAACTCTGCCACCTCCCTCCAATCCTCTCCTTCCTTGACCAGCAACATCTTACCTCCTACGCCACATTTATAAATTCGCCCAAGTCCTCCCATTACGCAGGTCCTCAAAAACTCTTCCTCCGGCACCGCATCCTCCTCCATTGCTCGCCATCGCCATTCTCCTACATCAAATGCCTCTCTACTCCACTCTAATCTCTTCTGCATCGAACCACCAATTACCTGGAACAATCCAGCTGCAAAAACTCCCGTGCAGTCCTCACGTTCCCTCGCCATCTCCGGCAACATTGTCCAGTTGTCTTTGGCAATATCATAAACCATCGCCGATTTCAGGGCATTCTTTCGCTCATCGTGGCCCCCAGCGATGAAAACTTGGTTGTCTGGGCTGCCGGCGCAAGCGAATAAGAAGCGGGTGGGGCCAGGCAAGGGCTGACCGAGATGCCAAGTGTTGGAGAGGAAGCTATAGACATATACGCTATCATTGCAAGTTAAGGAGTCTCGATACAAGCTGCCAATGACGACGAGGTGGAGGCCGGAGGCAACGATACAAAAGAAAAAGGGGTGGCGTACGTAGAAAGGGATTGGTGGGAGGGGAGCCCACTCACCAGTGGACTGGTTGAGGGTAGCGAGACGGCAGTAGGGGTGGGAGGAAAAGAACCTGAGGGAGCGTCTGGCTGCACGACGGGCCTCTATGAAGATGATGAGATGGTGGAAGGAACCTGCGGAGCGGCGGAGGTGATGAAAGAAGGGGGATTCAGTTGCTTGTTTCCACCTGCGGCAGACTTGTCGGAGAAGAGGGAGGGTTCCATGGGGGACTCGAATAAGGCACTCCAAGCCGATTTCTTCTGGAAGGCCTGGTATCAGATCTTCCATATAGAAGAAATTTTCTGCCTTTTTTGATAAAGGTGAATTTTTTTGGGAAAATTTATAGTTTGGACGGGTTAAGGAATGCATTCTAAATTTAGTGGTTTTCTTCTTATTAAAGACTCAATTTTCATTGGAAAAAATCCGGAAAAAGTTTGTTGAATTTGCAGATTTAGAAGAGAGATAAAAGAAGAAGTTGCTCTATATCATATATTAGTTGGAAAAATAATAATAATTTGTGGTTGTGTTGGATTGTTCACATCCTATACAAAAATAGAGAAGAGGCAGATTTTGGGAGAGCATTAAAATGTTATAAATTGCCATCTCTTTTATTTATATGGTTCTCCTTTATCCTCTCTTTTGAGAGGCCCTACTCTAAGCGGAATCTCCTAACTTTTTTGTAATCTAAACAAATATTATTGAAATATCCTACTTTACAATAAATAAATATGAACTTTTTTTTGTTTATATAAGTTTCTTTAATCAAGAATAAAGTGTGTGCAAGAGGTGATACATGAATGAGATACCCGGAGTTTTATTTAGAAACAAATGAGTTGAAAGTGTCGCTGTCTTTGATTTGCCAATTATTGAGTATGACTAGGGGACCCGACCCGGAAAATCCGAGTTGGATCCGACCCGATTTCAAGATAGGTTGGGTTCGAGTTCTCGGATTCGATCCATTTGAAAAACAGTTCGGGTTGACCCAGCGGGTTGGCGGGTCAACCCGAAAACCCACTTAGAATGAGCTGCTCGAGGCTGCCCCGGCTGCCCGCGCGGTCGCCAATGTTGTCCGAACCCTGCTCGACGCTGCCTGCGCCGCACAGCTACTGCTTGGCCCGCTGTGAGTCGCGCCTGCGCTGCCCTCGACCCCACGCGTCCCGACCGTGACCCGAAATTGACACCCTAAGTATGACTCTTGATATGATGAACCACAAATGCGTTTGAGTCAAATTTCAATTGGTGGAGTAATCTAGATATTTTCAATCTCATTCTATGAAAACGATGTAAATTACCTTTTTTTAGTCCCACATTTGAAAAAACCTTTCTTAAAGAAGGAAAAAGAAATAATAAGCCACCTTATTGTTTTTATCGATTGAGGGTGATCTTAAGTAATTCAATGATACCAAAAGTTTAATTGAACCTATATGTTCCTAATCACAAAATTATTTTTATTGAAAACATATCATATAGGTAAATGATCCTAATTTGAATTTCTAAATTATGTAGAATTTTTGTTGTGTGATGCGCTACAACGTGGGTAGGCGGCGAAAATATCACTAGCGTTGAGCTCTGAAAATTTGGTAATTAATTAAGCATGACAGCGTTGTTACTAGCCGGACCCACTGCAGATTGAGAAAGTGCTGTGGGCGCGCCGCATCGTGCTAGAAAAGCGTTGTTACAACGCTAATATATTATCTACATTAACGTCGAAAGCATGCCATGCATACAACATTTTAGGATCGTAGGTGCACTGCGAGGCCAGTACACGTAAAAAGAATATATATATAGTGGTGGCTAGTAAGGTTTGGTCTTATTTTAAGAACATATTGGTAGAGACGGTTGGCATTATCAAGACAATTAAGTGCTATGGTTTGAAAATTGGCCTATCTCCTTAAAATAGGTTCATATTCTGAATTTGCGGCCTATTCGATCTTATGGTTATATTTGGATAAGCTCGTATGAGGCTAAGCATGATAACATCAAGATGGACCATGAATTAACAATTATTAATAAATTAAAGAAAGGTGCATCAGCGTTTTATATTTGAATATTATTTTCTAGTAAAACTTCTCTAAGCAATGTGATTTAGTGGTTTTCCTTGATATTTCGTTTTGGAATTGTAAACTTTGGGATAACATGATTATATTGTGTATGGATTAAACCTAAGGGCCTCCTTGTTTAAACTTCAATACTGATGGCTCGGTGCATAGTATGAAGGCGGAGCTGGGGGCTTGTTAGGGATTTTAAGGGTGAGTTATTAGCAGCTTTTTGCTGCCCGTGAGAATAGGAATGTTTGCTGGCTGAGTTTTAGGCTCTGTATTGTGGTCTTGAATGTGTTTAAAAAGGGTGTTTAATAATGTTTGGATAGAAGTTGATTCTCTTTTTATAGTTCAGTTTCATGGAAAAAGGAATATTGTAATGTCACCTGTTTCCCTGTATCTTACTAGAAAAATTAGGGGAAGGTGCATTATTTTAACTATTAAAATTTTCTCATATTTTTCGAGAAGGAATGTATGTGCGGATTGGCTGGCTAAAAAGGTGCTTCTTCTGGAGGTTTTCTGGAGTTTAATACTCTCCAGTTAGATCCTATCTCATGGTATGCTTTTGGTGGATAAATTAATTCTCTTCCTAGATTGGAGACAGTTTGAGTTTGTGGTGTTTTTGATTCTCCAGGTTAGCGGCCCTGCCTGGAATTTTCTGTTGGTTCCTTTGCTGTTGTTGAAGCGGTTTGTTTGGTTTAATTCACAAACATGTATGGCGATTTATCTGGGTGTTTGCCTGAACCGCTATTTAGATGTTCTTGGAATGTTGTCTACTGGCTCCTAAGCAGCCCTCAGTACTTCATAATGAGCCTTTTTGTTGTAAGCTGGGCGGGTTTGTATCTTTTCTGGCATTTTAAGGTGTGCCTGAACAAGATGACGAGATGAGGTGGGAAGTTTATCTGTAGTTGACTTGGGTTCTTATGTTTCTGGCATTTAGTGTGGTAATAAACGCTTGACGTTTGAGATAGCTGATATCATTGTGTATTGTTTCTCGGTGGAGGAATAGCGGACTGTCGGTTAACGGAAGCATAGGCTTCGATTCGAAGTTCGAGTTGACGGTTATATCGAATATACTCAGTAGATGTGTATCTGGAGAGTCTTTGCAGAGTTGGCTACCCGTCATTATGAGGAGAATATGAAGTATAGCCTAACAAGGAGGAGGGAGCAAAATAGTTAAGTTGTGGAGTAATCAAAAGGATGATCAGGTCTTTTCTTACTACGTTGCATCTTCCTTTTCTATTATTCCTTTATATTTTTGCAGGAAGTTTGAGGCTGAACGTGAACTAACGTGGATCTCCTATCTTTTAGGGTGCTGGATCCTCTACAGCCCGAACACGTTGTATAATTATATTATTTAGTAATCTTAGACAAGGAACACCGGCATTCTAGGGGATTACTTTCTTTTTGTGATTGTAGCTCAAGTGGAGCAGTAGAAACTGGTGATCCTTTTTAGATTTGTAGTAACCGATTTGTCTAAATAATCACGTACGGGGACCCCTCTGGGTTATCCAAGAATATAATATATATATATATAAATAAGTATAATAGATAAAATAATATATATAGTATATATATAAGTATATAGTATAAGGAAAAGGTGGATGAATGTGAGAAATGTGGTAGAGAGAGTGAGGAGAGAGAAAAATCACCTTTGGGATATATTGATGGTCACGTTGGTCAGTTGCCAAAAACTATTTTCAATCTAGTAGTTAAAATAAAAATGTATATCTTTATTTTCAATGATTTTATATTTATAGAGAAAAAGATAGTGATTATTTGAGATTTTGTGTAAATTAAAATCACCAAATTTGAACACGCAATTGGCATACTAGGTTCTTTAAATAACGGAAATCGTATTAGGTGCATGTTTAACATCCCAACTAAGCGGCTAAAATAAGCTAATAAGAAACATGAAAATTTAAGTAAAAATGATAACTAACTGATTTGATAGGGCCGACCAACTAGAATTTAATTTAATACTAATAATAGGAAATGTTACTCCCAAACTAATAGACTAAAGTATATCTAAATGTTGAATTTGTGATTTAATATTTCTTCAATTTTTTTTGATAACAAGACAAATCACAAGACAAAAAAATGATTACAAGTAGATTATATAATAATAGTATATAATATGAATTCAAACATTTTAAATTCTATTGAGATAATATAATTAATGAATATTCATAAAATATGTAATTATGATGATATTATTTACTATTTTAAGAAAGTTCATCATAATATATTTAATAATAAGAATTCTGACTTATTTTTTCATTATTAAAATACTAGCAGTTAACTCAATATTAGCACAAGCAGATCACATTCTTGGACAATCTTTTGTAGCTATTTTATAAACTAATCTTTTAAATAAAATTTTAATTCATCGAAGAATTAGGGTATGAAAAAAATAAAATTAAGAAAGCTATCACAATGGACCATCCTAAATTTGCTCTGGCAAAAACCAAAAAAACATTTCTTTGTGTATATCCTCAAAACGAAGGGAATTAAAACTATGCGGGAATCGAAAGACCACAGTAAACTCAATAAAAAGTCTTCTCTGATCTAACTTAAATAAGAATACTAAGATTTTATAGCACATATGATTCTGATCAGTTCAGCACCGTCGAGCTACATGTGAGCTGCTTAGAGTAGTCAACACCAGCAGTTATGAAAGATATGCTTATTGAATTGTGTCTTGGAAATGCCACCCAATCACACCTAGAGGGGGGGGGGGGCTCCCTGTCTAATTTCGGGTCACGGGGCGCAGGCGTTCGGGTCAACACCCGGAACTGACCCGGCAATTTAATCTTCGTACACATATAACGCCACGCCGCTCTGCAAAAAACGGTGTTGGATTTTCGACCCGGATAGACCGACCCGATGGGCGGGTCGGGGGGTGCGGTCGGGAGTCAACCCGAAACCAGTTGTGTCCGCCAATCCCGCGCGCGTTAAAGTGCAAAAATTCGCGGGCGTCGCGGAGCGACGCGGCTGGTCGGCGGGGCGGGAGCGTCGACTTCGAGGCGTGGCCGAAGGGAATGAAATCGGAGAGCGTCGCGATCATCGGGCGGGACGGAGTTGTCGCGTCGGCAGCCGACGACTCCTTCCGAGTACGCGGGATGACAGCGGGCGCGGGGTGGGAGGAGGGGCAGCTCCATTGGCGGGCATGATGGCAGGGTAGGCAGCGGCGGGGGGCGGGCAGCGCAGGGCGCAGTGAAGCGGCAGCGCGGGCGTGACGGGCAGCGCTCGTGGGGAAGCAGTGGCGGCAGCGAGCTGGGCTGGCGGGCGGCGGCGCGCGTGGGGTCAGCGACAATTTGCAATCTGTTTTTTTAAATAGTCATAACGGTTTTCGGTGTTGACCGAACCGTCCGGGGTCAAATCGGCGGCCGAAACCCGACCCGTTTGCAAAACGGGTCGATGTTTCCGACCCGAAACAGAGCGTCTCGACCCGCTTCGAAGGGTAGCGGGCGACGGCGGCGAAAATACGGAAGTTGGTTCGGGTCAACCCAAACCCGAAATTCCGGGCTCGGATTTTCGGTTGGCCAATAATTGACAGTCGTAGACCACCCCTTCTTCATCTGCTAACACAAAGCAGTAAGCAGAAGGCCAGCCACATGACACCACCCGCATTCGTCATCTTCAACACAAGCAAAACAATATATGGAGGAACTCTGACCTCCTCTGTAAACTTTGCCACCTTCCCGGTCCACTTTTCTCTCCTTCCTTACCAGCAACATCTTCTCTCCCTACGCCACGTTTATAGATTCTGCCCATGTCCTCGATCTATGCAGGTCTCAAAAACTCTTCCTTCGGGCACGCCTCTTCCTCCATCGTCGTTCTTCCTACATCAAATTCCTCTTCTGCTTCCACTCTAATCTCTTATGCATTGAACCCACCAACCATTTGGAAACATCCTCGCTACAATACACTGTTGACTCGTTTTTCGCTTCGAAGTTCCCGTCGAGCACCTTTGAATCGACGTAAGGTGTAATTTTGTCGAGTCTAATTCGAGTTCGAACGAGCTGAATGAGATCGAATTAGACTCGATCGTATTCAACGTTAATTGCTGTTCTGGCTTGCTAGATCGATTCTAGCTCGTAATATCATGTAATTACTTTGAATTAATAATACTTATAGATAATTTCGTTGCGACGGCTCGAACCCAATTTAATTCAAATTGAGTCAAATTCGAGCTCGAACCTAACGACACATTGTTAGACGAATTTGACTTAATTCAACCTAAAGATATTCATTAAACTCCAATTCACTTTCTAACAAATTCGAAATTGATCCTTAGATCAGGAAATTTGGTCGAGCGGTCTTGATTGAATGGGCAATTGGCACGGTCACTGATGCTCGCAATCTTCGGTCAGGCAGAGCAGTGATACGAAGCTGCTGCAGACTCCGTTCGCGTGTATACGAGCGACTGTCGCGAGAGGCATGGAAGAGGCGGGCTTCTTCTTTCGGAAAAGGGGTTCGTTTTACCAAGAGGAAGGCTCTCACGCTCCAGGGATTATTGGGAACTCCCTCTCTCTCTCGATCTCGCGTTCTCTCCCTCCCTCGTGCTCTCTGGTTCGCAGAATCACAAAGGAGCGAACGGTCTCTCTCGGCATTCCTCCCCAGCACTCACACCCTCTCTCTCACGAACTCCCTCTTCTCCCTCTCTCGTTTTCTCTGTCTTGAACCGACGGGCCGAAGCCCCTTTTGGATTTCGTGAGCCCCAGCCCGACGCCCGACCCCCCTGTTCGTGCGACCCTAGCCCCACGCCGGCCTCCTTGCTCCGGACCGAACCCGAGCTCGACGGTAGCCATCCGATCCTAGCTTCGCACGCGTGAGCCGAACCCAGCAGCCGGTACTTTTGTGCGACTCGAACTCGACGCCCAAACTGATCGGAGCTTCACCATCCTGCAGGTGACCCTTCTCCTTCTTCTTTCTCTTCCCCTTCTTCTTTTTCTCTCTCCTTCATCTGCTCACCATCTTCTCCTTCCTCTCATTGGCTTCTTCCCTTCTTCTTCTTTCTTCTTCTTTCCCTATGCTTCTTCATCTTCATTAGTGAATGAAGGAGAAATATTGTTTTGCAAAAAATCTGAGGAGCTTAAAGTTACATTCGGATTACTTTCAAGAATGTAATGGCTGAATGGTTTTTTGAGCCTGGTTCATAATAATGAGGCCAGTCCACTGCTATTTCTTGTTGTTTGATTTTATTATGCTTGTTTAGTTATCAGTTGGTGTTTTGATCCTTAGGGGATGTGGAAAGTTTGTTGCTCGAGAGAATGAGCAATTAAACAGCGATGGAATTTATTTTGATATCATGGCTATATCTCCTAGGTTTTTAGGTGTGAAAACGGTTTGGATCATGAGAGGTCTTGTAGTTTCCTTTATAAAAATCATGCACTTTAAGTATTCGACTAAATGTCCTTGAGAAAGGATTGTGATGATGGGTTGGTAATTCATGAAACACGATGCCACTTAACTAAGCATTGATTTATCTTGCTTAAACATAGAAATTTTGTGTGTTTTCCTTCACAAGTGTGGATGTACTTATGTTTATAAAGTTTCTCTCAAGTCCCTTTATGGAATTGTCTAGCATTCTTTCAATTGGAAATGTTGGCGATGAAGCATCGGTAGGTTCCAAGTTTTTTAATACTTATCCAAAGTTTTTTTTTTTTTATGAAGTATATGATTGTGGAAAGGTTGATTCTCATGGTGATTTGCTCCAAGGGATTTTATAAATGCCTTATGAGATTGATGGTTATACGTGGTAGCTATCAAGCACCATCCTCACGTTTTGCAAATCTTTTTTTTTGGTATGAAGGTTTGCATCACCTTCACTTCCTCCTTGCAGATTGTCCTCCTTGCAATTTAGGTTATGATTTATCGTTGAAATCTTCATTATGATTCAAGCATTTAAATGTATATCTAGAGGCATAATTTATTTTTGTCATTGGTTGGCTCTCAAATCCAAGATGAGAAGTAGGTGAGCATATGGAATATGCTATGTTTTCCCCAATATTATAACTCGAAAAGTTAGTGGAAAATATACATGTGGTTTCACGCTTTACCATTTTAAGAATCCCATATGGATTGAGGGTTCTTC